AAAAAAGATGACAACTCTGTGATGCAAACCAGAAAAGACTGCTTATGAATGATCGTATCTTCATTCTATGCTTTCAGGTAGACTCGGAAGACTAGCTGAAGAGATTTCAGCCGTGTTGCATCTTCACAAAATTGCTTTGGACAGCACCACTCAAGCCCAAATAGTCTGATAATCCAAAGAGACTGATCTAATTGGTTACTTTGGCTCTTGAAGTATTTTTGTCTGTCTGGATCCATGTCGTGCACCTCATGTTTGCTGCAAATGCTGTAAGTTTGAACCTAGAAAAGGCAAAGAGCAGATTGTCAAGAGAGATGCTCATATATCGTGGACATAGCATAAAAATCCCAGACAGATAAAGGAACTAAATCCCATTATGTAAATTTAATATTGTCATAGATGAGTTGCTACAATTGGCATTGCATTCGTTATTGGGGTACTTCAGGAATGAACTCAGTGACAGAGTCTGTACATGATTTGTGAAATTTCTCAGACTAAACAGGCTTTTCTGGTTTCCTACCACTCAAACACAGACCAAAAATTTATTCTTGAGAATGTGACATTTGACATGAAGACAAGACCCGATGTTTCTGAAGAGGATACAATATCAGGACTATATGTCTTGTGCATGTCTGTACATTTTCTCCAAGAAAGAATTGCTGGTTTAGTTACACCAAAATTTTATAGGATGGGGATGAAGACTAATATGAACTGCTTTTACGGTAACATGCAGGCTGAAAGGAGTATAGCTGCTGGAAAATTAGTAGATATAAGATGTATGTCCTAAAGGCAAATTTTTGCCCGTTATCACTTGGTCATATTTACTCTCTAGAGACAAGCAGTCAGAGTTCTGAGATAGGTAAAACCCTCCCCAGTGTCATTCCTGTGCTTGACATTTTGCAAAGTGCCTTCTCCCACTCCTTACCTTAAGCCTGCCTTGCAGCATTCAATGAGCAGAAGTGCCTTCTCTCATTCCTCTTCTCTGGGGAAACAGGGCAAGATTTACCCCAGAGAATACAAGATTTATGGAGTCTTTTTTTTCTCTGCCTCTTTTTTTTTTTTTTTTTTTTTCTTTTTTAATTGAATGTTAAGAGAGATTTCTCTAAGAATGCAGAGGGCAACCATCTGGAATACCAGAAAATGGCACCTTCTTAATTAACCAAGCAATTGTTAACTTGATCGAATCTCTTTCTTCAAAGTTTTCCAGCCACTACGTGCACACCGTATACAAAGAGATTAGTAATGTGGAAATGGCAGTGTTGGCAGTAAAGTCAGCTTCTTGATCAATAATAACTCAGCCTGAGCAGACACTTAATCTAAAAGAAAGAGGTCATCTCCAATCAGGTCCCTTTAAAGAGATTGACCAACAAAATCTAATCCCTGATTGCTGAATATTTAGTCAAGCAGTGACCTTGCATCCTATTGTTTAATCATATATTATTAGCTAATTCTTCCATTCAGGTCCATCTTGTGAATTAGATTTTGTCCTAATTAATACTGTAACTGTTAAAGAAGAAAAACGCTACAGCTTACATGACACTGACTTCATAGGCTAGGGCCAGCAAAATCAAATCCAAAACCTTTCTGCAAGTTTGAATCTTTCTGTCTCCATATCATTCCTAACAAATGTTACTTCTGCCTGTTCTTGAGGACCTCTAATGATGGATAATCCACAGTTTTACAAGATAGCAAACTGTTGTAACATATTTTTATCTCATGTGCTGGGGGAAATGAGGAAGGAATATGACCTTTCATAGGTGTGTTGAAGCAGAGCATCTCGCTACCAAATCTGTCATCGGTGTTAGCAATAAACAGATTGCAGTCCCTCTAGAAATTGGGTAAAATACTAGAAATCATGTATTCACTGAGTGCTTATATTATTAATAACTTGTTTAATTTTCAAGAACCTGGTGTGAGGGGACCAGTTCACACTGGGTAGCAGTAAAACAGCCAGCAGGCTGAATAACATGGGGAAATAGTCTTCGGCTCCAATGTCACCTTGCTGCTATAGGGTGACTCACCTCCCTCAATCCTGACTGAGCAGGAGTAATTAGGGGTAGGAGATCACTCTGAGTTTCCAAACATTGTCTCCAGAAGAAACCACTGAGAACATCTGTATCTGTATGCCCAGAGTTAATGAAGTTGCAAGCCATTGAGGCTACATCTGTATTGAGGGAAAAAAAAATACCCAACAACAAAACACAAACCAAACAAAAAAACCCAGCTCCCTCCCCCTTTTCCTGCCCCTCTACAGACTTTGGATAAGTATACTCTATTGGCTTACAGAGGGAGAGTACATTTTAAGGCCAACATTGCACCCAGGATTGTGAAAATCAGATTTTGCTGTAAATGTTGAATCCCTGGCTCTAGCACTCAGGATGAGTGCTAACATGTAATAAAGCTACCTGTTTTATGTTTTTGTTTTTTGTTTGTTTTAGGGTTGGGTTTTTTTTGTTTGTTTTTGTTTTTTTGTTTGTTTTTTTACATTCAGGCTAGAATTGTGCATTGTAGTTCACTTTCTTGTACCCTATGGGCTCTAAAATGTATAAAAGCATGATACAGAGATGCAGAAATCATAGCTTTGGTTCATCTTTAAGTCTATGAGGAGGTAGAAAACTGGGCTGCTCTACTTCCTGCACAGATCATTCCTCTTATGGGGTGTGTTTTGACAACTCCAGCTGCCTCACCTGCACAAAGACAAGCGGCCTGTTCTCTGTGAAGCACCAGAAAAATACAGGGATGCTTTTATTCTTGCCAGGTTTGGGAGGAGTTACCTCAGCAGACCCAAACCAGTTGTTCCCATGGCTAAGTACAAACAGTTGAGAACAGGCACCAAAATGTCGCTGAATGTTTTGTACCTGAGCCGTCCAGCTAAGAAAGCTGTATGTAAATCAAGATCACAAGCAAAACTAAATGATGCCTTAATGGATATGTTCAGTGCAAAATCTTATTTTCTATATTATTTCTTTCCTTCAAATGGCTGTTTTAGTAAGCAATCATATTGGGACTTCGTTTTACATGAAAAGAAAAAGTAGCTTTCTCTGAAGCACCTCTTGTAACTTAGTCTTCCAAATCTGCAAATATTAGACCTAAAATCTATTGAAATCTGGAAGACACTGATCTTGAAGAAGCTGATGCTATAACCTCATGCAAGTTGATATGCTGTTTGCTGTGTCAAATATTTATTTTAATACATCTTTTAAATATTTTAATATTGTTATTGAGTTCATGTTTATGATATTTTACTAAACAAAGTTTTAAGGAATACTTTAAATATTAACTATGTAACCAATAACCAATTTTAGGGGGGATTTTACTTTTCAGGTAGAGTAACTGATATAAGTAGAGATGTAAAAGGAATTAATTCAATTTATCCCCTAAGGTTTTCAACCATTTGGCTAAAATGAAAACTAGGAGAAAAGGGAGGAGTTGAACCACAGCAAGCTATGTGAAACTAGTTTTGTTTTATTGTCAAGTAAAAACCGTAAGTCTCATGTAGTGTCTGATGACACAAAAATATATCTATGGAAGAGTTTTTCTTTTCTGTCATTCCATACTGTGTGTTTTCTGTTTTGTTGGGTTAATGCTTTCATTCTCTTTTTGTGACCAGAACTGAATCCTTAGTTCTCAGTATGGTAAATGGATGTTGTGGGTGCTCAGAAGGATGGGCACTTTTGAGGTACAGGATCTACTGGCTTCTGAGTACCGTTACTCTCCTGATTGAGCACAGCTTGATGTCAGCAACAGCCTACTGGGAAAGGGGAAAATAGCCCTTCCACTTAGCTAGTGCTGTTTCAGTGTCCCGTTTCCTTTCATATTTATTGTGCATTACAGCTCAACATTTCGCACATAAATACGTAAGCAGAGTGGATATGGGTATGAATTTTGTGTGTGTGTTTGCATGTCCTTATGTGTGCATTGAATAGGATTTTTTTCCCAGAATAAATTAATTTACATTAAATCAACATATTGCCAGGGAAAAAAACAGCAAAGGCTTTAACCTTCTAAGGTGCCTTGCTGCGGTGATAAGAGTAGCCTGTCTAGTATGCAGTCTCCCTTTGAAATGCCTTGGGCAAAGCAGAGCACATCATAGCAGGGGAAGCTAGCTAGAAAAGGTAGCAGTACTTGTTCCTGTGCAGAAGCCTGAGATTTTCGGTCCCAGATGGTAGTTTTATAGGCCATTATGATGCCTCAGACTGGCTCAATAGGTGAACTGAAGAATGAAAATAGTCCCATTTCCAAAAAAGCTGAACTCAAGATCTGGCCCTCACGAGGGCTGAGTAAGTCACAGACCAACTGCTGTGATTTATGTGATGGTACGATGTGATTAACTTTCCCCTGGATCATTAGAGAGTCTCTGTGGGTGGTGATGTGTCAGTTACTGTTCTCAGCTGGAAGGAAAGTCAGCAATAAACAGCCAGATGGGAGGAAAGGGGTGAAGAAAATTCTTAATCAGTGCTGAACTTTTAGCTTAAAACTGCACAGATTTTAGGTCAACTAAAGAAGTGTTTGCTTTGTTAACCCCAGAGACTTCAGTTGTCTTTCTCTATAACAGCAGGATGCAGGACATCTGTCACCTGGCTTTAAGTCCTTGTCTGCAGTTTGCAGAGGTCTTGAGTGAGCCTTAGCTGTGCCAGATACAGTTGTACATAGCCTCTTTCCAGACCCAGCAGCAGGACATTTGCAGCGGAGGGGTGGGGATGCGTACGTCACGTTGCTCTGTGGGGTGGTGGTGCAAGTATTTGGGATGTGCAGGTAGGACAGCACCGTAACCCTTGGCCTTTTCAAGGATGAAAGCTTTCTAGAAGAATAAAGTCAAATGAATTTCACTATATTTTGTATTTGGCACTAACTTGCATCATCTGCTGTGATGACGTTTTGCTGTTTTACTGCTAAGCAGGACTTGGAAATAAAAGCTTCCACATTCGCTATGGATGTCCTAAGCCTGAGCCCTTTTTTGTTCAGTCACAATGTTTCACAAAGGTGTATTTGGTTTAAAAGAAAATGTTATGAGAGACAAAGGTTCAACTCTCTGCTCTTTCCAATATAGAGATGTTAATAGGAAAGTTGGCTGGAAACATGTGCTTCTAGATTTAGAGGAAAAAAGTAAAAAATATCCATGACAAAAACCACCCGAGTTTTTGCATCATAGTTGCAGCCTAATACAGAATAAAAATGGAACTTTACAAATATCTGAAAGAGAGGACATTTGTCCCTCAGAAACATTCTTCTAATTCACAGAATAAAAGAATGACAAAATAGTTGACATTGGAAGATCCTCTGGAGATCATCTGGTCCAACCCCCTGCTCCAGCCCCTTGCCCAGGACCACATTCAGATGGCTTTTCAGTGTCTCCAAAGATGAAGACTCCACCTCCACCCACCTAGGCAACATGTGACTGCTTTCAGTCACCCTCACAGTAAAGAAGTATTTTCTGATGTTCAGACTGTGTTTCAGCATTATGGTTTGTGCTGAAACACGATCTGTATTTCAGTTTGTACCCTTTGCTTCTTGTTCTCTCAGTGGGCACCACTGAAAAGAGCCTGGCACCATCTTTTTCATGCCCTTTAGGTATAAATGGCATCCTCTTTGCACCCTCTTTTCAGGTATTTATATACTTTGATGAGATTTCCCTGAGCCTTCTCCAGGCTGAACAGTCCCAACTCTCTCAGCATTTCCTTACACGAGAGATGTTTCAGTCCCTTTGTCATTTCGGTGGTCCTTCGTTGTACTCTCTCCAATGTGTCTGTGTGTTGTGGTTTAACCCAGCTGGCAACTAGGTACCACACAGCTACTTTCTTGCTCCTCTCCCCTCATCTCCCTGTGCAATGGGGAGAATTCGAAAATGGTAAAACCTGTAGGTTAAGAATGGTTTAATAATTGAAATAAAGTAAAATACAGTAATAATAATTATAATTAAAAGGAAGGGGGGAGGAAGGGGATAAAACTCAAGAAAAAACAAGTGATGCACAATACAATTGCTCACCAAATGCTGACTGATGCCCAGCACATTCCTGAGCAGTGATCAGTCCCTTCTGGGTAACTTCCCCCAGTTTATACATAGAGCATGATATTATGTGGTGTGGAGGATCCCTTTGGCTACTTTGGGTCCTGTCTCTGCTCCCTCTTAGTTTCTTGTGCTCCTCCTCATTGGGAGAGAAGGAGAGACTGAAAAGTCCTTGATTAGGGTAAGCCCTACTTAGCAGTAACTAAGCCATCACTATGTTAGCAAAACCATTCTCATGCTAAATCCAAATCAGAGCACTGTACCAGCTACTAGGAAGAAAATTAGCTCTGTCCCAGACACATGCCTTTCTTGTACTGGAAAGCCCAAAACTGAACTCAGGCTTTCAGATGTGGCCTCTCCAGTGTGGAGCAGAGGAGAAGGATTGCCGCCTTCAACATGCTGGCATTGCTTTGCCCAGTGCAGCTTGGGATACCTTTCTCCATCTATGTGGTAAGGGCACATTCCAAGATAAGTTGTGCTTTTCAGCTACTTTTCTTTTGGTTTTGAAGTTCACAGTTACGTAACAGCAGTCTGTGTTCCAAAGGTCGAGGGTATGCTGAAATGCTGAGAACAGACTTTGAAGCTTTGAACACTTTTAATTGCTTCAGTCTGCTCCCTTACCCTATGGTTTGCCCTGTCCTATTGTGTCTTTTGCAAAGCCTATCTGTATATTGTGTACCAATGACAAAAAGGCTGCCACATGGTGTAGCAGGCTTTCACATTCAGAGAATCAGGATGCGTTTGGGGAGAATCAATGTAGGGGCAGCGAACTGTGAAATCACTATTACAAGGGATTCATTCTGTAGAAGAATATAGCAAATCATGTTAAAACACCTCTTGAGAAGGCTCAGCTAGCTCAGTTTTGAAGGTGGGGTAGTGTTTCATATGACATTGTAACATTTTACACCAGATTCTAAGGCTGTGCGTGGGGGTGAATGATAAACAGTTCTGAGTCCCCTTTCCTAAAGTCTCATGGTTACTTTACAAAATAGTTTAGATGCTAATGCTTTTCATCATGAAGGTGCTTTTGAAATCACTGTTATAACAGCATATGGCATAACAGACAGTCATGCTTGTCTTTGTGATACCTATGCCATCCAATTGAGCTTATAAACCTCTTTATTAATACACCGTCAGAGATGTTTCTCTCTCAAATAGGCATCATCGCAATAGGTCGTGGTTAAAACAGCAGACCACAAAAAGATGTTTCTCGTCCTTGTCCAAGTGTGGATTTTCAATTTTGCGTGTTTTCTTCTATAGCATCTTCCATAGTGATGTCAGCATGTCCGGATATCCCTCCCAAAGGCCCAGAACTGAAAATACTTGTATCTGAATCAGTGGCAGGTCTGAGATTTACTGTCTTGTGAGCCATCAGAGCTAGACACTGCAGCTTGCTGTCATTCTAAAATCCTGACTCACTACTTCCCAACAAGATAAGGCTTTGGTTTCAAAGTCTCTATATTCAGGAATCCTAGCTTACCTGAATTACTGCATGTAGAATATAGAAAGCTCTAAACCTTATTACTTGTTCTTTCCCTCTATCTGAGGCTTTTATGATTATCTCTTACTATAGTAATAGTACTTGACTTTACACATTGAGAATTTAAGGAGAAAAAACACCCTCCTCTTTTTGTAACACATACTTCTATTCTGAGTATTATTTCGTGCTTTGGTTGTGTTTCTCCATCTGCCACAGATAACATTTACATATGCATTTTTCATTTCTGAATAACTTTTCTCATAATATATCACATCTTTAACTGGCTCCTTGTGAAGTTGGTATGGTCAAATGTTTTTGTTAGATCAATAAGGCTTTAATATTTAGGGTTTTATGTAACTCAGAAGTTAGAAAACCAAGTGTAGAAGATGGAAAAAATGAATGAATGTTCTCAATAATTTAAAAGGAAAAGCCCATTCATTGTGAAGTTGCTTTAATTAGGAGGGAAGCCAAGTCTGGGGGTGAGTGGATTTGGGACACTGATGATACTTCTCCAATTATTATTATATTATTTACACAAAGTAGAGATTTGTAAGAAGGGAGGTTCAAGGCTGATGCCTTTCTTCTTTCTCACCCTGTGCTGTAGCCTGGTGGTTAACCCCCACTTGCATCAGCTGAAGCTTTCACTCAACTCTTTTCAAGCAGGAGAAAAAAACTGAGCCAAATGCTCCTTCACTGTGGATAGAAAGGAAGGGCATTTTCTTGCTCTTGCTTTGTAAACATTGCTGTGCACTTCCTTTGCCTTTTACACAGTTCATCCATGTCAGCATATTTAGTTTTGGACATCTTGGACTGTGCCATTTAATACACTGATCTTTTTTCCCAAGCTTTTAATTACAGCAAGGAAAACGAAAATGCAAACAAATGAAATCTGATTTGATAAAGATCAAAGCGTATTGCTTTTTGGATAGCCCTCTGAAAACCAGTTATGTGCACAGCCCTCACAGCGGCAGACAAATCCTCTCTCCTGAACAGGCATTGCTAAAGAGTCTTGCATCACTCTGAACTGAAAGCTCTCTCAGTTGTCTGACACTATCACTCAAATTTCTGACCCAAGTCAAGCAGAATCTTGCTTGAATGCCTGACCTTCTCAGTACTGTGTTTGCCTCATGTAGTGAAAACAGGTGCATGGCATGAGAGAGAATTAAAATGATGTTTGCGTATCAGCATAAGCCTTTTAGACAACATACATTCAGGACCTGATCCTGAACTATCAGTTATTTTACAGAAGGAGTCTTATCTAGAGAAGGAACACAGATGTTGAGTCTTAAATGGAGCTGTTCGATCCATTCCCCACTTATGGCTGAGCTATACAGAGTGTCATTGCTGATTCTCATGAACCTTAGCAATTTGCTTGGTATTACTTAGTCTGCTTTTTAACAGACCTTGTAATACTATGCACACAGTTTTCAACCTCAGATCTCATCTTCTGTCTTTTAAAAATCATTGTTCTATCTTTATAGCAATAGAGGTCTAGCAGGGAGCAGAGACATTGTATCACTTTGCACAGTAATGAAGGAAAGAAAAGGGAATTGTTTATAATTTGTTTCTCCATCCAGACAAGTCAAGCTAAGTTATGATGAGAGCCGTGCAGCAGCCATGATCACCTACCGTTTTATAGCTGCTGTGATTGTTTTTATGAAACCTATAACATTTTTAACAATGCTGTTGTGCTGATCATCGTTCTTGTCTCAGCAGAACATTATTACTACAGTCAAGTCAATTCAGCTTGCAAGCAGGGCTTGCTGCTGGCAGGGTATGAGAAGGAATCACAGAGGACTCTCCTTACTCAGCTAAGGACAGGGGACAAAAGAGTGCAGGGACACTGGGCAGTTGGTTGAACCCTTCAATGAATTATTCAAAGATTTTTTTCTTTTACTTTTGGCAAGGTGATGAACAATTCTGTCACGTTTCCGACAGATAGCAACCTGCCATTTAGCGTGACTCGTCAGCTGTTGTTATTCACACAGTGGCTGGGTGAAGGGCACAAGCACGGCTAAAAATAAAGACTGGAAGAAAGGTTTGGTTCTTTTCATTGATGATTCAGAGTTCTTCAAGGTGTTGCTTTGCAAAGGGTCGTGTAAGAGTCAGAATGTGCTGGCTACAGCGGCCCCACAGCAGAAGGAAGCACATGGGTCGGTGAAAAGAGGGGCAGACAGTACATCCCCCATTCTTGCAGCTCCTTAGTGTTTGTTTCTTCTGCTTGCATACTAGTGGCCCTTACTTCGCTGCTTACCTGATTGCTCCTATTTCTTGTCTGAATTGCAGTGGAACATGACTCATAATAATAACATATTCCTAGCATGTGGTGAGGTCAAGTGCTGTGCTTGCTCTTCTACTGGTATTGGTGGCCCTGCTGAAAAATCTTTCTTACCTTCTACAATTTCCCAGCCCAGAGGTCTTTAAAACAGTAGTAAGAGGAATGAGAGACTCAGCCTATTTCTCCAGTCATCAGATAGTCTTTATGTAATCTGTCTCCTTATTTCCTCCAATTTACCTTGGTGTTACCTTGGATCTTTGGTTCAAAGTCAGTGAATTTACACTGGTTAAAACATTTCCCTCGTTTATTTTTCTGCAGTGTGTCCTCCACTGTTTTCCTTTCCACCATCTGCCTGCTACTGGTCGGATATCAGGGCTTCTATTAGAGTCCACTGTATGGTTTGACAATTGCTCTGGTGTTTTGGCCCCAGGAGGCATTTTTAAATCTGTCATTCTTTTTTAGCTGAGTTTTAGTCTAATGAAGGATATTAATTCTGAAAGAATGGGAAAAACCAGACAAGTCACATGAGCCCTGATGTATACGAAACTGTACGTTCTGGAAGGTAGGTAAAGAGGAAGCTCTACCATGCTCTTGTCTTGCTCTTCAACTTCTGGAAGTTATTCCTGGGAAAACTTACCACTTTCTGAAATATATCTATATTTAGCGCTTGCTGTTCCTGCTCTCTTTTCTGTATCAATTGCTTGGAAATGGATATTTAGATAGACTGAGAACTCTGACCTACAAATAAATGCACTAGATTTTGCACAGCTAGAGAAAACTATTTAGCAAGACAGTCAAGAGTCCGGAACTGGTTTTATGTAGATGGGTATAACTCCTGTGGAAGTTATTGGGAGTTGCAAATAATTCCTGCAGGCAAAAGTGATGAAGGAATTAGTATTTCTCAGTCTAGGCTAATACAGCAGGCAGGAGAAGCCCAAGAGACCAACTCAAAGTTTGGTGATTTTTTGATATGAAATGCCACTAACTGGACATGTAGGGAGCTGAAAGTCTGCTGGGGACAGATTCTTGTAATCTCATTTTTTTTTAGTGAGCATTATACTATTGACCAGGACAGCAAATTATCTGGTCTCATGGTAGAAATTAAGGTGTGGAAATGTTTGCACTGATTCGCCTTTTAAACATTTGTGTGTATAGAAGTCTCTGTGAGCATCTCTGTGCACATGGCTTAGAAGAGTTTTTAAATCAGTGGTGAATAACTGGCAACATAAGATACCAGACTGAACTCTTCTGCTTACACCAGGTGAGATTGAAAGAGCTAACGGAAGCTGTGGAAAGAATGAGGAAGAAAATTCTGGTTTTGGTTAGTACTTTCCTCCTTTTACCAAAATACGTTCTGACATCCAGGCCTGAATTTGAACTAGTAACTGCAGCATGACTGCACTAACAGTTTCCAAATAATTTATTTTAGAGTGCTCTAGGATACTTGGAGTATAAAAGGTGTCACAGAAAAACAAGTTTCATTTCATTCGTTTGACGTGTTGTTTTTGAGCTTACCATTTAATAATGGAACATAGAGATTTTAAAGTTTACTGGAGGTCTGTATGTTCATGTATTTAAGAAAAAAACTGTGGTATAGTTAGGGAAGATGGAATATAAATGAAATATTAATCTCAAACCAACAGGTCCTGGCTATTCCTTTGTAAGAGTCAAAATTTTCTAGTTATGATTCCTTTAGCTCCCATTAAAATAGAAACTTGAACACTATATAGGCATTTATGTAATATGTTCCACTATAAGATTACTGCCTAACAATTTAATAAACAGAGGCCAAATTGGAGGGTAGAATTGCTACATTTCATGTTATGGGAGCTTTGCTTTCTTTTTCCATTCACACAGTTGTGTTCTGGAATATAGTTTAAATGTACATACATAAAACATGTAGGTGTGTGTTGTGCATGTATTGACTTAACTTGGACACACAAGGAGTATGCCTTGGACAAAATATATTAATGGTACTAGAGATCTCACCCCCACACTTTTGTTTTGAAGGTCATGGAGAGCCTGAAGCTATAGATTTAACATTCAAGCACATGGTTCTAAGAAGCTGTTCAGCACTCTCACCTCTCTGGTTGGTTTTGCTGGAAGTCCGTATCAATAACATCTGGGCCCTAATTGGCTTTGATGTGGATGATGTATGGTCTTGGAAAGACCGTTGTTCTCTATTAAAATAACCTGGTTGAAACAAAGACTCATGTCTGCCCCAGATTTAAACGGAGAAAGAGAGAGAAAAAAAAGTTGTACCCAGCCTGTGAGCCAGATGAGTGTTTTAGCATGGAGGGTTTGGCATGTCAAGGTTTGCAAAGCATGGAGGAAGTCAGAGGTGAGCAAGGGTTCTGGCTTGTAGCCCAATGGAGCCTCTGTGACCACAGGCAGCTTGCTGGGTCCAACAGGAAAACTGGATGAAAGACAAGAGCTGGTTAGATACCAGATACTGTCACTAAATGGAATTTTCTTAGGAGAGATAAATGCAAACAACTGTGCTGTTACTACAGGCCTTGTGCACTCCTACCAGAACATTTTCAAGTGAAATGTGAGGCTGACAGTTATATCTCTTAATTGTTTAGTGTGCTGCCACTGGAAATAGTTTTCTGATCTTGGAAATAATGCTACTAGATAGTTCTTTTTTCTTAGTGTTGTGTTTCTCCTTTATGTGAGGATTGACCAGTTTGTTCAATATGGGGGAAGGAGCAGAATATGTTTGAGACACTCATAGAACAAGTTTTGTGTTTTTTTCCTTCTTTGTTGCTAAAGTGGATGACATAGTTTGACATGTGTAGAGAAAAAGATAAAGGCGATGTACATTTGCATTGTCTAAAATGCTGTTTCTGATGGATGTGTGACACAGAAGGAGAGCAAGGATGTAAATAAGGTGGTAGAGCACAACTGTCCTCCTGAACAGAGGAAAGCTCCTAAAGGGAAGAAACACTTTTTATGTGGCAATGTTAGACCCTTCTAGCAATTCTACTGCTGAGGAATCACAACCTGAGTACCTCAGGTGTGCTCAGCTAGAAACATGTACTGGTAGTGGGTCTGTACTCAGAAGCATATTCTCTTCACCCTGCACTCATGCATCTGGTAAGGGTGGCCTAATTGTTTTGAGCACATCTAGGAACTTTTGTTGTTTCCTGGAAGCATTACGGTGGATGGAAATCCATGTTAAAGAGAATTGACAGATGGATGGGAATTGCTGATTGGAGAGAGGTTGGAAATGGAAAATACAACATGAAATATGTTCCAAGGAATGGGAAGGAAAGGTTGCTTTCTTGCAGCAGGGGATTCAGCAGGCATGTGGGAGGTCTTGATTTCACTGGAGGTGTGAATTTTATTTGGATCTTTTGTGGGATTACCTTCCTTCTCCGTTAGAAGGAATCCTGATGTGATAAATCTTGACATGACATAAAGTGAATTGTGGCAAAGCCAAGGCTGTGCAATAGAAAATGATCATTCCTAAAGGGAAGAATATTCAAATAATCTTTTTCCATGCTGTTGCTGATATCCCTCAAGCATTTGTGAGGATGAGAAGGTGGAAATACAAGGAGAAATTCTGGCTTTGTAGCAAATAGTTGGAACAAGCACCAGGAGTGCCCTCTTGAGAAAAAACTTTCACTTATTTTTGTAGGTGGATCAGGATTTCAACACAGTTGAAATAGTGGTGGGGTGTTTTTTTTTTTTGTTTTGTGTGTTTGTTTTTTCATTTCTCTTCCAATTTATCATGGTTCTGATTTATAGGAGGTTTTTTGGGTAATACTCACTTTGGAGAAATGCAGTTTTCAAACAGAATGGAAGGAAACAATGTTTTCCATCCTTCAAATCTTTCTTTACTCACCTCCTAAGACACTGCTTTGGTCTCTCAGCTGGCTGTCTATCCAAGTTGTCTGCTGGTTTGTGGAAAGAGCAAGCATCAGTACCTGAAGTGTGAGATCTAGTCATTATAAGCATTCTGACTTTGATTAGGTAGTATAAATGATATATATAAATATAATGAATCATATGCTGTTTTATTTAAGCAACAGTAACAAGATATTCTGAGGGAGTCTCCCACTTTAAAACAATCTAAAATTTTACTGAAACACAGCTTCTTTAGCTTTCTACATCACAGCAGGTTTTTTTAGGTTGCTTCCTGATGCTTAAGATATCAGTCAAAACTCCCACCATGATGCAAGCTAGCATGCCAATTTCTTCTGCAGCAACTATTAAATTCAGTGCAGCATATCAACCATCTGCAGCCCATCTGCTTGCCCTAAGATGTAGACTTCAACCATGAACAGTTAAACCCCACAAATTGTCAGTAATGAAGAGTCCATCATAATCACATAATGTGTCAAACACCTGTGTGAGCAAAACAATGAAGCAATGACTTTTGCAGGAGAGTGGATATAGGATTAGATGGAGCATTATATGGGGCCTGGATGGAATTACTTGTGTTGAACGTTTAGAATAGAAAATGCAGTCACTGTAGCACTTTGTAATGAAAGGATGGCACATTATTATAACGACCTACATAATGCATATGGTAACAAATGGTTAACATGCCTGCCCTTCTATTCCTTGCAGCAAATAATCGACCTGGAAAGTCGCAGAGCAGTACACATCCCATTTGGCAGCAGTTTTCTGAATGAATTGAAAGTGATGCTTAAAACCCAGCAGTTTTTTGCAGGCTTGCCCACAGTCATGCTATGTATATATGCAGACTCACACAGAGCTCCTGCTTTGCTGAATGTCCGTACTTGTTTACAACCAGAACTGGAGGGATGGTGCAGCACAGCTGCTGTTGTGCAATCTATCCCTGATAACCAGGATACCCTCAAAGCATTGTGGACTTCTTGTGAATAATCTGCTATGTTGTGCATATTTTTCTTTGCTGGTTGATATGGCATGTGGCTACCCACCTCATTGCTCTCCCAGAAAGGACTCCATTATCCACATGATGCTGCAAAGAGAGGGAATGAGCTGGGACCACAGGGTACAATTTTATTTGTTATAAATCCTGAGAACCAGTGTTAAGAGTCACTGGACCTCCTACTTCTGGCACAGGAGTGGAATTCTGCATTACTAAAACTACAAGCATGCTTATTTAAGATCTGTCACATGCTATAGAGTGTGCAGTCTGTTTACATGGAGTGTTTCTACCCAGACATGGTGAAGTGTGAAAATTACCAGACAAAATGGTAAAGGAGAGCTATTTTTGTGGAAGGAATTTAAAATAAACAGAGAAAGTGGGAATGAGAATTTGGATGTTAACAGATTGTAGTTTGTGGCCTGGGGATGAGGATTGTGAACTTGATGTAGAAGGGGGTGGGAAGTCGTAGAAGGGGGTGGGAAGTCATAGAAGGGTGATGACAAGAAGAATGACCTACACTGAACTTCTGATTTAGGAAGTGAGACAGAAATGGAGCTGCTTGAAGAAATGGAAGTTGCTATGCCCCTGGGAAATGAAAAAAAACATTTAGCAGTTGAAGCAGCAATATTACAGAGTTGATATCAAGAAAGGAAACTGTTTCCCTCCCCTTCTCCTGTGAGGGATTTTCCTTTTACTTGCTTGGTTTTTGTTTTTAATTTGTATTTTTTTTGTATTTAAATAAAAAAAAATACACTTGCACACACGTATATCTCATTTATTATATTAAAACAAATGTATACTATAATAAAGATTATACACACACTTACAAGCAAAATTCCCCCCAGACTATAGATTCCCATATCTGTGAAGAAAAATTACATTCTTGTCACTTTCTAAACTGGGAGTGGTAGTAAAGTGGAGTAGGATGTTAATGGCAGTAAGGACATGCAGAAGTCATCCATGTCTCTAATTCTAAATAGATCTGATAGAAACATTATCCTTGTACCAGGATCCAGGAGTCATTGGTCCATACAGAAGTTCAGCAGGACCTCAAACATGGTTTCTTCAGAAACAAACTGTGGATTCAGCAGCATATTGCTGAAAACAAGGTGTTCCAAATAAAAAACAGAAAATTTTGGATGGATTTTTTTTTTTTAATTATTTTTTAATCTGCTTTTTTTTACATTTCCAGACAAATTTGGAAACTCACAGCTGCAAAGGTTAGTAATCTGGGAAAACTGTGAATATAAAGAATGCTTTCATTTTCCTTCTCTGCAAGAAAAGTGAATATCCTTTCCATCTTCTCTGCAAGGATACTGTTGAAAACAAGTTGATTTCCAAAAAGTTCTATTCTTAGTTGATAGCTTCAACTCAGGGTATCTGTGTGTAGTTAGCCAAGAAACTGATTTACCCAAAGGCATCAGGCTGGATTAATCAATATAGTTATTATCCTATATACATTAATATCATTGCAGTTATGAGTCTGTCACTGCTTTTGTTGTTGGCTTCCTATCTAAAAGTTTTAAATGTGGATGAAAGATTCAGTTTGGACTAGAGGCTGGTAGACAAAGATGCCCTTTTAAAGTGCTGAGCAGATTTTTGGAAGTCCCTGCTCACAGGAGCCTTAATTTTTTTGTTTGTTTTTGTTCTTCAGAGCATCAGCCTGTGCTAGTTTTGAGTACTGTCGTGGTTTAAACCCAGTCAGGTAACTTGTTCGCTCACTTCCCCCCTTTCTTGCCCTCCCCCTGCTCCTGGAGGGACGGAGAGGAGAATCAAAAAGAATGCAACTCCCACGGGTTGAGATAAGAACAGTTTAGTAACTAAGGTATAACACAAATCACTACTGCTACCACCAATGATAATAATGATAAAGGAAATAACAAGGGAAGAGAATACAACACCTCAGCACCAGCTGACCGATAACTTGCCCCCCTCAGCCCCACCAAGCTCTGCTCGATACCTCCTCCAACCCTGCAGTCTCCGAGCCCTTCCGGCTAACTCCCCGTTACCTCCTGGGCATGACGTGCTGTGGTATGGAATACCTCTTTGGTCAGTTTGGGTCAGGTGTCCTGTCTCTGCTTCCTCCCGGCTTCCCCTCCTCCCTGGCAGAGCATGAGGCTCACAAAGTCCTTGGCCAGAACAAAACATCGCTATCAGCTCTGTTCCCAGGCCGAAAGTCAAAACACAGCACTGCACCAGCTACCAAGAAGGAGAAAAATGACTGCTACTGCTGAACCCAGGACAAGTACATATGTTATGATGTTGTCACTTGTTCACAGCAAGAGTTGGCTACTAATTCAGTTATCTGGTCTCTGAAAAATATAAAACTGTGGTCTCTTTTTTTGTTGAGCACATATGAATGACACCATCATTAGATATAGGAAGAATTATTTTTCTCCCTAACTTCTGTTGACCTGTTTTGATTATTTGTGCCTCCAGAGGACATCAAAATCAAAGCAAAATTGACAATTTTCACATAGGATTGAGTGAAAGCAATATATTCTTCACTAGTACTTGAGCAAGTTCATTAGTTTGGCTGGGTAGGTGCTGAACCTTGACTGAATTTCAGGTTCACTAAATAAGGTTCATAGATGTCTACCGAGGGTATTCCACTAGTAATGACTTTTAGTCTTTACCAAGCTGAGCAGAATTAAAACCAATAATGCAGCAATTTAGAGAGGAAAGGTTCACATTCCCCTTAAAAGCCATGAGCATTCATTCTCCTTCAACTTGTTTCTAAGGTAAATTTTAAAAGCAGAGCCTATAGACATCATGAAAATGAGTTCATAGCTTTTGTAAGCCATTTATCACGATTTATTGCAGTGTGAAGGTTTTTACTCTTTTGGCTTTTGACATACTTTTTGAAGCTAATTGAAGAGTAAACCTTACTTCTCTTTTTTGCTTTCAGATATTCTCTAAAGAAAAGTTTATCCTGTAACATGATTACAGTATGATCTTACCGTACAGATTCGTTAGGCCTCTGAAATGATATGTCATATTACAGGGATAAAGTGCTGAGTCTGCAGCTGGATTGGATGGAAGCGTAAAGAATAAAATCTCTGGAAATTATGTGGGTTAAAAAGAGGAATAAGGCCCACTAGTAGCCTTGGGCTCTTGGTCATACCTGGAGCTCTGCGACACTTTGAATCTCCCCCTAGATGTTCTAGTGACCATGAGTAAGATAATTCACAGTATTTTTGTTGCATTATCAGGCAGATATTGATCAACTTGTCTTTAATCTAAAGAAAAATGTAATTTATGGAAATCTTCCATGTGCAAAACAAAACAAAAACCCCTCACTTTTGAGTTGAATGGGTAGATGGTCAAACAGACATCTGGAATCTCTTTTCCTGAAAGCACTGGCAGGACAATACAGAGTAATTATAATGTTTTTGCTTTCCTCTGCTCCTTTTTTTGCAGGGGAATTTGTGACTTTCCTGGCACAAAATCTGTAACATTTTCTGGAATTAAACAAATCTGAGGCACAGAACAAGAGAAAATGGAAGTTCCTAAACCATCAAGATGAGCAGAAAAAAGCTGCAGCTCCTGCAGTAATCTCAACACAGAAGAGAGGTCAAGGTAGCTAAACCTTGTCATTCAGAGCTCCAGCCTGAGGAGTGGGAAGGAACAAAGCCCTGGTACTGATAAAGCGAGGTACCTCCACAAGACACACCACTGCAATTCTGCTGTTCCACCTTTTCTGCCAGCAAAACAGTTAACAGTGCTAACATTTAATCCATCATCTGTGGTTACATAAGTTAATGCTCCTGAGAAGCAGAAAAGGACTCAAAGGTCTCACAGGTATTGTTTTTGGCTTCCTGTTCCAAACATTCAATTAGTTGCAACTGATTTTGAAAAATTCAGTGGCAGCTGATGAAATGTAAAGATTTCTTTGTAGGAGAGAGAAGGTCTTTTCTACATAAGAAGATGGCACTGACTTGACTATCGTGGCCGCAGCATAGCATATAATAGCACATCAGCTTTCCTTCATATCGTGCAGTAATCAGATCCCATCCCCAAACAGGCTCAGAGATGTACAAAGGAAAGATGATAAGCATTTCATCTAAGATAGAAACATACTGAATTTATTTCTTTTCCAAGATTTGTGTGTCTAAGTATGTATATGATCTCTGAGTCAATTTGTTTACCTTCTAGGATTGCTCCGATAACATCTGGTAGAATGCAGAGATCTTTCACGCCAATGGACTATACAGTAGGATATAAATATTAACCAGACTGAATATTAACAGGTATTTTCCTCTCCTGTTCTCAATAATGCAGTTGAATTAAAAAAGACAGCCTTAGATGAGTTACCTACTAACTGCTATTCTACTTTGTATTCATAACTCTTCCCCAATTGCTTCTGCTCTGATGCATTATTGTGTCAAGAAAGTAATATTAACCTATTGCTGCTTCTCTCTACATATTAAGTAGAGTTAAAGAACAATGTTATGGTAATGAGAAAAGGAATTCCCTATTCTGGGAACTAGCAATGTATTAATAAGGTGGCAGACAGAAATAACTGTTTCTAAAAATACAGTACTTACCTCTTACCATTTTTTAAAACCAGCTCCAGTGTTTCATTTATGCTATGGGATTTGGCAGATGTTAAACTGCAGAGTTTCACTGTATTCAAACAAACATGTCAGTTTTAGGTCAGTGATAGCACAGACACATGCCAAATGGATGAGAATCTGCATTAATTTGAATTCAGTAACAAAATTCCTATTCAATTCAGTAGTGTAGGAACTTCCTCTTCAGGTAATTTATAAATAAAAAAATTCAAGGCTTGTTGGAGTCTGTCATCAAGCCCATTAATCTTTTTCATCCACTTTCACTACCTGTGCGAGGGCCTTTCCTCAGCTTTATCATGGCTTCAGGCGCAAGCTACATTACTTGGGTTTATTTGAAACAAAGATGTCAAACCCAAAGAGATG